CTCAAACTCCTGGGCTCAAGCGTTCCTCCTGCCTCAGCCTCCTGAGTAGCTGGGACTATAGGTGTGCATGACCACGCCCGGCTAATTTTTTTTATTTTTAGTAGGGATGGGGTCTCACTCTTGCTCAGGCTGGTCTTGAGCTGCCTGAGCTCAAGCGACCCTCCTGCCTCTGCCTCCCAGAGTGCCAGGATTACAGGTGTGAGCAACAGTGCCCGGCCCACACATCAGAATCTTATTCCATCTCTCTCGTTTTGTTGTTTTAGCTCCTTCACCAAAGAGTGAACAGAAAAACATCCAAACCCCTTCCCTTTCCTACCTGGGCAGCAGCAGCTCAGTACAAAGGCTTGGCAGGAAAGATGCAGGAATTCTTGACTCAAGTAAGGATGCATCTGTTCCCCTTTTCCGCAGGATTGTAGGCCATCTCCAGTTCCCAGCCCTTCCCTCTCCAGCCTCATTCCTTCTTTCAAACAGGGTTTTCATATATACTTGGTTTAAATAGGCTTAAGACATGAAGACCTGGAGTTAAGCACAAATCAAAGTCTTTCAATGTAGTAGTTCAAGAAAGCTTATTTTTACAGGTTGGGTGCAGTGGCTCACACCTGTAATCCTAGCACTCTGGGAGGCTGAGGCGGGAGGATCGCTCAAAGTCAGGAGTTTGAAACCAGCTTGAGCAAGAGCGAGACCCCATCTCTACTATAAATAGAAAGAAATTAATTGGCCAACTAAAAATATATAGAAAAAATTAGCGGGGCATGGTGGCGCATGCCTGTAGTCCCAGCTACTCCGGGAGGCTGAGGCAGGAGGATCGCTTGAGCCCAGGAGTTTGAGGTTGCTGTGAGCTAGGCTGACGCCACAGCACTCACTCTAGCCTGGACAACAAAGTGAGACTCTGTCTCAAAAAAAAAAAAAAAAAAAGAAAGAAAAGGCTCGGTTATGACTGGTTCCACGCAGGACACAGGCAAGCCCGGAACACACAAGCTGCTGCCTTTCAAGCTGAGAGCTTTCCGGTCCATAAATCCCGCAGGTTATTATTGCCTCTCCTGGTTTAGGTTCACGGTGCAGGCAACCGGACGTCAATGACACCACACAGAGACAGTGACATGTGTACGTGTTTTATTTACAACAGAGTTTGAAAATCATTTGTTGGTGAAGGACAGGCCATTGTCATCGTCCTTCCTGCTTGCCGTGACAAGAATGCCACGTCCTAACAGACCCAGGTCGAGGGCTAGTGACAACCTCACTGGTACCCAGTTAGTCATCTTCTTTGGATTGGCCACAGAGTACACCAGGGAGTCTCCCGGTCACATGTCTCCTTGGGAGGGAACCAGGCAGGCTTGGTAGACAGCTTCCAACCAGCCCAGCGACCACAGGGAGAGCATGTATGGAAGCCGAGAAGGGGAGACTCACGAAACATTACAAAAGGTCAAGAACAAAGCAATTACCCTTCTCCGGAACCGGGGGCAGGAAAAAGATGGAAGAAAAGAGCACGCTCCTTTCCATGCAGGGACCTGGGCCCACGGAACTGAGCTGGCCCTTCCATCCCATGGAGCCCGTGTCTTAGGATATAGTGGTCTCTGCCAGAGTGATGCTTCAGGGGTCCGCTCCTCACCATCCCTGACCACACACTGGGGTTAGGAGGTGTGGATCGCGAAGATCCTCTGTTTGGCCTAGCACGGAGGGGCAGAATCAGGGCCCAGAAAAAAAATAGTGGAGGTAAGAGAGGAAACATGGGGCCAAGCTTCAGAAAGAACTCTACAGGTGTGTGTATGTGATGCAACCTTTTTAGCCAAGGGTATTTAGGAGGGAATTTATAAAGGAAAAAAAAAAGACTTTAGTTCTGTTTTTTTTTTGAGACAGAGTCTCACTCTGTTGCCTGGGCTAGAGTGCCGTGGGGTTAGCCTAGCTCACAGCAACCTCCAACTCCTGAGCTCAAGCGATCCTCCTGCCTCAGCCTCCCCAGTAGCTGGGACTACAGGCATGCTGTAACCATAGCACTCCCTGGAGGCCCGAGCGGGCCCGATCATTTGAGCTCGGGAGCCCCCCGTCTCTACTGAAAAAGAAGAAATTAATGGCAACCTAAAAATAAGTAGTAGAAAAATTGGGCCGGCATGTGGCAGGCCTGTAGTCCCAGCTAGCTTGGGAGGCCCCCCGAGCAGGAGATTGGCTTGAGGCCCCAGGAGTTAGGTTGCTTAGCTAGGCCGACGCAACGGGCACTCAACCTCTAAGGCCTGGAAACAAAGTGAGATCTGTCTCAAAAAAAAAAAAAGAGGGAATACCCAGAAGCCAACTAAATACATATAAGATCTATGTATTATATATAATATTAATAATATATAAGTGATATAATCCTAATAGAATTATAA